CTATCTATCTATCTATCTATCTATCTATCTATCTATCTATCTATCATTGTCTCTCTCTCTCTCTCTCTCTCTCTCACACACACACACACACACACACACACAATCATTTTTCTCCATTCCAATTCGGATCCTATAAATCAATTGTTCTGTGAAACATCTGTGAAAATGTTTTAGGTGCTCAGGCATGAAAATGTCCCGCTCAAACACTATACTTTTCTGCACACACTGAAAAAAATTTAGAGGGAACATTGTATTGCATGATGGATAACTATCTGCCTTTATTTCTATTGGGTGGCATATAAATGTGGTTAATTAAATTAATTAATGTTCTTATTTATCTGTGAAGCTCATGTGTGTTCCCAGTTACATTCTATGTTGTCTCCCAACCCCATTGGAAGATTTCTTCCTATTCCAAACTTATAGCTTTGAGTCAAATTGATTTTTTGTGAATATTAGAAACATCAACACTTGGCTTTTTAATACTATAGTCCAGTGTTTTTCAACCTTGGCAAGTTTAAGACATGTGGAGTTCAACACCCAGAACTCCAGATAGCTCACTGAGGAATTCTAGGAGTTGAAGTCCATGTAGCTTAAACTTGTCAAATTTGAGAAATATTGCTAAAAGCATTGTACTTATAAGCAACAGTGGTTGAGACTATGCTCCAGTCTTTGAAAAAACTGCTTTTTCTTTTTCCAGGATCAGTTTTTCCTGCCTGTGTCCAGCATCTTGGCACTTCACTGTGCCTTCAGTGAGCCTTTGTCTCCGTCAGCGTTTGGCCTTGGTACTCCTGTTGTTTGCAGTCTTTCTTCTACTGATCGTGGCAATTAAAAATCTGTGGCACTGGAAAACTGATTCTCATGATAGGCAGTTTGAAAGGTAGGTAAATGGAGCATTGGGTTGGAATGAGACCTGTTAAGATAAAGCAAATAATGCTTTCCAGAATGGGGTGGGTAGGGGGGGTGGGCTAGAAGCTGCAGACAGGGGCCTAATTCCAAAAAAATCTTCTATGAAAAGTCAGCTTGTTTTCGGTGCTGCAAATTGACTCTTACATATTTTCACGCAATGCTAAATCACTTTTCCACTTGCAGGTATTTAGCACGTTATCGCGCCTTGGAGGCAACAGACACAAAGGATCCAGCTCTGAGTTACGGGGTGGTTGTTGACTGTGGGAGCAGTGGTTCCCGGGTCTTTGTGTATTATTGGCCGCCACACAATGGGAATCCTCATCACTTACTTGACATCCGGCAAATGCGAGATCACAGCAGTGAACCTGTGGTCAAGAAGATCAAACCAGGTTTGGAATGTTCTAATTGCTTTCTGTTACAGTAGGCAGACATCCATGAAAAGCAGGTGACAGATCCCACAGTTGTCCTTGACATGCTGGTGTACATCTGTACTTTGGCAAGAGATAATGTTGATGTGACCTCATTTTTAATCTTTTTTTTAAATTCTAAACACCTGTACAAACTAAAATGTTTCACAAATTCAATTCAATGCAGTGTAAACATTTGAAGGAAGAATATGATTAGCATAATACCACACTCTCTTAAAGTATGAACAAATCTGCAGCTTCATCTTGCTAAGGTTCAGTTTCAGCCTATTTCATAATAATTAGTATTATAAATTATATATGTTAATTATACACATACTAGATAACAATTGGATAAAAACTTCGGTTTTCAAAATACCCGTCCAATTTAACTAATTTAATTAAACTGCTAATTTAAATTTCAACTTTAGATAATGGAATAAAATATATCTATTATATGATATGGTCTCTTTTTTTCCTTCTCAACCAATATATTGTTTCATTACTTTTTAAAAAATAAAGATAAATGGTATAAGAGTTTCAGTGTTAAAAGATCCATATACAGCTTCCATGTCTTAAATATTTCTTGAGTAAATTGTACAGTAAATTAATATGCTTAAAAGACTACATTTTTAAAAAGCTATTTTAAAACTTTATAATTTGCATTAATATTTTCTATTTTTATGGTTTAATAAAAATGTGTTTAAGTTGAAATTTGGAGAGCCCATCCTTATTAAGATATAACAGATATAAATATAACCACCTCATTTTATTTAAGGCTTTTTAATGAAAATTTAAAAAATCAATTTTATATTTTTAATCAAATGAAAGGGAACAGAATGGAATAAAAATAGCACTTTTGTTAGAGCAATATGTTAATACCTGTAGTTTAAATGGATAATTTTTTATCACCTGCAAATTTATACATTTGTTTGGTTGTGTGTGTGTGTATATCCATTATTAGGGAGTACAAATATATTTTTAGATTTGTTCATATTTTAAGAGAGTGTGGTATTAAAAACACTGTTATCTAAACTTCTGTTATAAAGCCATCTGGTATATCAAAGTTATTTGATCTAGGTAAAGGAGACTAAAGAGACAATTCTTTTCTTGAATAGGGATCTCTACACTGGCAAAAACTCCAGAGAAGGCTAATGAGTATATGAAGCCACTGCTCACGTTTGCTGCTGCCTATGTACCCAAAGTCAAGCACAAAGAGACACCACTCTACATTATGTGTACCGCAGGCATGAGGCTATTGCCTGACAAGTGAGTGATCAACAACTTTCTTATACTTGATCCCGGCCTTTGGGGGGTTTAAAAGCAGGAAGTACTGGGCTAGTAGATGGGGAGTGAATAGGGAAGATTTCTCAAAGTGCAGAACTCTTGTGTGACAAATTTTCCATAGGGATTTAGCTATCCCTTCTTTTCTAATTTCCCCTATTTTGTCCACTGTAAAGCAACTCTGTTTGCTTCTTTTAGATATAATTAGTGGAACTCCATTTCTATCACTACCCTGACTCAATTTCTTTGTAGCTCTATATTAAAGCTCAAAGATTTGCAAACTTAGAACTGAAAGCTGTTCCAATAGAAAAAGGTTGCATTCTTGCACCAATGAGTAAAGAGACAGGTTTTCAAATTGATGGGGGAACCTGCTATGCTCTCTGGAAAGGTAAACAGAGCAGGGTGGGTAAATATGTTAGGAGGAAATATTCCTCACTTGCTTATGGATCTTTTCAGGCAGCAGGAGGCCATCCTGGGGGACTTGGTGAAGGACATACCCTTGGATTATGACTTCCTCTTCTCGGAATCTCAGGCAGAAGTGATTTCAGGGAAACAAGAAGGTACGGATCCAAGTTTAATCTCTTCGTGTTTCAGAGTGATACCATAGAAAAGACAGACTGAAGGTGTATGTATATAGTGAAACCAGATTTGGCTGGAATTGGTAGGTGAATTTGGTCTTGGCAAATTGCTTTCTGGCCCAACGTGAACTGTTCTATGGCTTGCCTTGTTTTAGGGATTTATGAATAGTGGAGGTCAGCATGCTGCTCCACCTGCTGTTGATGTACCTGCCCCTATAAGGGGGTTCTTTTTTAAAAGCTGTACAGAAATGGTGTTGGAGCACCGAAGCTTCTCTGCTTCTTCGGTGGGTCTGATGTTGCATTTCGTGTTTTTTCTCTTGTAGGTGTCTATGCTTGGATAGGCATCAACTTCGTCCTAGGTAGATTTGATCATGCGGAAGGTGAGATTTAAAGAAAGGTCTGTTGAAATGTGGGGCCCAGTGAGTGGATGCCTCTTTCTCATTGACAAATGAAGGAGGGAATTCTATGTACTTCTTCATTCCTAGCAGGAGAAAAGAAATGGCTGGCCTATTGTCAGGATTCCAAACAGCACCCAAAATTAAATCAGAGATCAAGGCAAAGTATTGCTCAAAGTTCCAATTTATTAAGAGAGCCACATTGGCACATTTGGGAAAATCCAAATCTGAAGGCTTCCTGGTTTTCCCACCCAGTTGAAAGTTCAAGATCTTGCCCACACACCCACAAGTCCATCACATGGTCCAATCATCAATTGCCATGCTGGCAGCTTCCACCCATCTAGTTCCAGTCAGGTGCAGAGGTGCAAAGACAAAGGATGAGCTTGGCTTTCTAGAAAGAATTTTGTTATGGCTGTATATCATCAAACTCCATACAATCCCCCCTCCCATTTTCCCACAATACAAAATGCATAGTAGAATTATAGGAATTATGACAGGCCAAAGATCCAAAAGAAAAGATAGCTGCAGGCCTGACGCCTATCTCATTTATTCCCTTTTGAGACTATCCTTCAATAGAACAGATACACAAATAAAGTGAAAGCCATAAATTCTTTTTCCATTTTCTTCCCCTATTTTCTTTTTTTGTACTGTGAGTAATTTATGCTCTCTCTCTTCTTTTTCTACCTGAGCTACAGAGGAAGATGCACTGATTTCTGTGACCCTGTCAGGTCAAGAAGAGCCCATGGTCCGAAAAAGAACAGTTGGGATCCTTGACATGGGAGGTGCTTCCCTGCAAATAGCCTATGAGGTGCCAAGCTCAGCCTCCTTTTCTTCCCCACAGCAGGTACATTTCTTGACTAGGGAGGGTTTGAAATGGGGAGGGGGGGGCTCAGCTAGGTTTAGCTTTTTAACACTTTTCTTTCCCTTCTAGGAGGAAGCTGCCAGAAGTTTGCTTGCGGACTTCAACTTGGGATGTGATGTGCAGCACACAAAACATGTGTATCGAGTCTATGTCAATACTTTCTTGGGCTTTGGAGGCAATTTTGCTCGGCAACGATATGAAGAACTGGTGCTGAATCAGACCATCGCTCACAACAGGTATCCTTGTTCTGCTGAAATGAATTTCCAAGACATTTCTTCTTCATCATAAGGTTTCCTAGGATTAGCAGTTGAACTTTCTGTTCTCCATACCAAGGAAATCCCAAAATGGGGTTGAGGAACTACAAGATGTCAATGAAGAGAAGGTGCAAACTGCACAGAATCCAATTATAGTTATATACACAGAAAAAGGGGCTTTTGGCATGGGGGATACTTAATCAAATTCAACATTAAGAAAACTAAGGTCATGACATCTGGCCCTCTCAATTCCTGGCATATAGATGGGGAAGTAATGTAGCAGGGGTGGGTTCCTACCGGTCCTTGCTGGTCCTTGTGGACCGGTTGGTCGGTGAATGCCCCCCTCTAAGGTGCGGCTAGAACTGGCCACCCGCAAAGGACCTCCCCAGACTTGTTTTGTTGAGCACTGGGCGACTGACAGTAGTTTGCGCCGGCCGCAGCCACAAACTAGTGCCAGTCGCCCCGTTTTCAGCAAAGCAAGCCCGGGGAGGTCCTTTGTGGGCGGCCAGTCCTAGCCGCTTGCGCCTGGCACTGCGGCTGAGGTGAAGCCCCAAAGCCCCCACCGCCACCGGAATATCTGCTGCCGCGGGAGCCAATAGGAAGGCGGTGGAGGGGGCGGGAGCAGGAAAAAAAGGCCTCATGGCTCCTCAAAAGCATGGCGGAGGAGGAGGAGGCAGCGGCAGGGGTAACGCTGGGCCCAGCTCAGGTGCTCCGAGCGGAGAGGGAGGCGTCGCTGCCACGGGCGGGGGTGCCAGCGAGAGCTTTGGCAGCTTCACCTCATCCGCAGCGTCAGGCGGCAAATCCGGCAGTGCTGTTGGAGGAGGAGGAGGCGGCAGCAGATATTCCGGCGGCGGTGGGGGCTTTGGGGCTTCACCTCAGCCTCAGCGCCGGGCACAAGCGGCTAAGAGTGGCCGCCCACAAAGGGGGCTTACCAAGTTTACCCATTATCTCCAAGAAGCAACTACATTACTCTCTTTCTTTATCCCCTACGTTACTTCTTTTTCAGTTTGTACATGATCCTGGGTGGTGTCTTTTTGCCCCCTTCTATTTAAGGATGG